GGGAGGCAGTCTCTCTCTGATGATTCATTTTGATGAGGATAAGCTGCCTAGTAAAGTCTTTTTGGGATTTATGAGCTTCTCGGTCAGGCCCTATGTCCCCCCTCCTCTAAGATGTTACAAATGCCAAAAGTTTGGGCATGTAGCGGCTGTATGCAAACAGAGGTGCACAAGATGCGGCGGAGACCATGAGTATGGCAAATGTGGGCAAGGAGTTAATCCCAAGTGTTGTAAGTGTGGAGAGGATCACAGTGTGGGATATGGAGGATGTAAGGTGAGGAAACATGCGGCTCAAGTTCAGAATGTTAGAATACAGGAAGGATTGTCATACTCTGAGGCTCTAAAACAGGTAGGAAAGAATTTGGAATCAGGAGACAAAAGTAAAGAAATCCTTCAACAAAAGACTGATATGGCAAAGGAAAAACCTGAAGAGAAAGTTGGGATTAAGCCAATGTTGCATTTGTTACTTTTATGGCGGAAGTAGTGAACTGTTCAGCGCAAACTGAAAGCTGGACAGAAAGAATCAGAATTATAATCAAAGCAGCAGAAAAGTATCTAGAGATCGAGGGTATCTCGGTGGATATGATTAATGAGAAATTAAAGATGCAGACAACATACACACAACCAGGATGTGGTGGTACATAATGGTGCTTTTAATATTTCAGTGGAATGCGAGAAGCTTAATAGCTAATGGCCAAGAATTTAAAAAAATCATTTCTGATTTGGAAAATAAGCCTGATATAATATGTGTTCAAGAATAATGGCTCAAACCTCAGTTGAATTTTGATTTACAAGGATATGTGGTTATTCGGAAAGACAGGAAACAAGGTAATGGAGGTGGGGTAGCTACATTTATAAAACAAGGTGTGGGATATAGGAATGTTGACGTGAATGTGGACCAAGATGTGGTTATGATGGAAGTCTGGGAAGGGAGTCATAGTATTAAAGTAGTTAATTTTTACAATCCATGTGAAAAGTTAAGTAAGGAAGTATTGGAAAATATAAGAGGTAACACAAATCAGAAAGTAATATGGTGTGGTGATTTCAATGCCCATAATACACTATGGGGGAGTATTAAAACAGATTATAATGGGCTGATTGTGGAAGAAATGTTAGATTGGAGACGGTTAGTATGTATTAACAATGGATGTTTTACAAGAATAGATGTAACTCATGGGTGTAAATCAGCTTTAGATATCACTCTAGTGTCAGAAAATCTAGCAAGAAAATGTGAATGGAATGTAAGTAAACAAAGTACAATGGGAAGTGATCACTATCCAATATGGTGTAAAATTGGTGTGGACATCATACAAACCTTGGTGGAGAGAATTCCAAGACGGAAATTTAATGCAGCCAACTGGGAGCTTTTTAAAGAATTTTGTCATAACAAGATGTGTGAAATAGGAGATGGTATTGAAAGTATCGAAGTGTTAAGAAAATAAGTGAAGTGTTAAGAAATACGGCAGAAGTAGTAATTGGCAAAAAGAAAACTATAAATAGTAAAAAAGCAGTCCCATGGTGGAATAACGAGTGTAGTAAGGCAATTAGGGAAAGAAATAAAGCGATGAAGAAAGCCAGAAAATCTGTATTGTTTAGTGAGTACATTATTTATGTAAAGAAGAATCCATCAGGAAATATGTTAGACTCAGAATTAACTTTGCATGATTTAAAGAGAGCGCTTGCAGGGGTCAAACATACTTCTACAGGCAAGGATGACATATGCTATGAGATGATAAAGCACTTTTCAGAATTATCATTAAGTATGATTTTTAGACTTTTTAACAAAATATGGGAGACAGGGAATTTGCCAGAAGATTGGAAGCATGGGGTCATAGTGCCAACAGCCAAACCAGGAAAAGACAATTCTCAGCCAATTAATTATAGACCTAGTGCCAATAGCCAAACCAGGAAAAGACAATTCTCAGCCAATTAATTATAGACCTATTGTGCTGACATCAAATTTATGCAAACTTATGGAACGGATGGTTATGAACAGGTTGACTTATGTGATTGAAAGTAGAAACATATTTTCAGCATGTCAAAGTGGATTTAGAAAAGGGAGAAATACGATGGATTCAATATTGTGTTTGGAAGCTGAAATTCGAAAAGCTCAAATTAATAAAGAGGTGCTTGTGGGAGTCTTTTTTGATGTAGAAAAAGCTTACGATATGTTGTGGAAAGAGGGGCTTTTAATGAAATTGGAAAGCTTGAGAATTGATGGAAAAATGTATAACTGGATTCTGAGTTTCTTGTTTGGAAGAACAATTCAAGTAAGAGTAGGGACTGCTTTTTCTCAGATTCTCCCAATTGAGAATGGAATGCCCCAGGGAAGTGTGAGCAGTCCTATTCTTTTTAATTTAATGATAAATGACATCTTTCATAACGTTGATACTGGAATAGGAAGATCATTGTATGCGGATGATGGAGCACTATGGAAAAGGGGGCGCAATGTTTTATTTGTAGAAAATAAAATGCAAAAAGCAGTGAATGAGGTGGAGAATTGGGCGAATTGTTGGGGTTTTCGATTTTCTGTGGCAAAAACACAAGTAATATGCTTTCCGAAAAAGAATCCAAGTTTGAATGTCAAAATGTATAGTTATCAGCTGGAACAAGTAAATGTACTAAGATTTTTGGGTATGTGGATGGACTAAATTTTAAAATTCATATTCAGAAATTGATAGAAAAATGCAAAAAAGGAATAAATGTCTTAAGGTGCTTGTCCGGAGCTGAGTGGGGGGCAAGATGTCAGTCATTGAAAATAATTTATGATGCTGTGATTAGGTCAAACATAGATTATGGTAGTGTAGTTTATAGTTCTGCGAACAAAACCTTACTTAAAAAGATAGAGGTAATACAAAATCAAGCTTTGCGCATTTGCTGTGGAGCATTTAGATCTTCTCCGGTGGCTTCATTACAAGTTGAAATGGGAGAATTGCCTCTAGAACAGC